ATGAGTACTGGTGCTGATAGAAAATACAGTTGCTGCTGTTGGGCACACCAGTGGCAAGCTGGGACAGATATTTCCCTTTCAGTCCCTCATGTATCATGCTATAAATTAGATCACCACTGAAAGATGAACCTGACTCTACTAAATCAAGAAGCAGCTTTCATCTGGACTCAACTCTACACTTGTTTCATTACACCTAAGTGTCACAACAACCAGTGTTTATCAGCACATTTCTGACACAACTCCTTTATGGGTCCATCATTCTGTGTACTGCCCAGGCCCCTGGGCAGACTTATCCCTTAGGCAATAACATCCTTCATTTGGGACCCCAATGTCTTTCTGCTTCATGGTTGCCTATCTTATTTTGATGGAGAAAAGGATCTAATAGCTTTCTAAGACAAAAGATAGGTGTTTTGATTTGTTGCATGTCTGAGAATGTCTTTATTCTACTCCTCCATGTCAATGAGAGTTAGGCAGGTCTACAATGAGCTGCACAGGATTTTACATCCAAAGATTTGAAGTAGCACTTCCTAGCTTCCCTACCTCCAGCTCTGTTGTTAAGAACTCTCATGACATTCTAACCCCAGCTCCATCTACCCCACAACACCCCTACTCTTTGAAGCTTATGAAATCTTACCCCCATCCCTGATATCCAGAAATGTCCCAGTGATGTGTCYTTCTCTGGGCCCAGTTCATTCTTTTTGGTGGAGATTTGGAGGGCCCTTTCAATGTAGCAATTTAAAAATTTCTCCTTTCTACTCAGGGAAAACAAATTAAAGTGCTTTCTCATTTCCTGCAGAATCTCTGTTCTCTGCTTTTTTACCTCCTATTTGTCAGCACTAAAACTTTTGGAATGAACTCATGTGGGACTTTCCAACCTTCTGAATGTCACAGCACACACAAAGAATGATACTAGTGCTATACTTTGGGGCAAGGTTACTTGCTGTAGAGGTGTGCAGCTCAAATCTCCAGCCACCAGGCTGCCCACTCCGGCTGCCCTGAGTTGGAGAGGTCAACACTTTGACAATGCCCCAACACACAGTAAAAAGTTCTACTCAGACTTTTACTTCTCTTGTGTTTTCCGTAACAATTACATTTTGTCCCATTTTCTGGAGAAAGGCCATTATCTTCCAATCTTTCCAATGATTTTTTGTTGTTGTTGTTGTTGTTAATGTCAGTTGTTACACTTTTTAATTTCCAAGGACTCCCTAATTCCAATTACCAAAGAACATCCACTATACTTCTCTTGAGCTTCTTTTGCACCCTGCCTTGTCTTTCCCTGGTTTTTGCTATTGTTGTTGTGGTGGTGGTTGGTGTTTGTTTTATTTTATGCAGGTTTCTCTTTCATGCTTAGTATTCCCAAAAGTGCTCACCAAAACCTGGGTGTCAGTCCATATTTAGGGAAAAACACAAAAGACTGCTGGAAATTCTGTTTACACAAGTGGGACTTGTCAGCTGGGGACTTCTCTGATCAAGGAGTCACCATAGCTTTTCTGCTGAAGAATGGCAAATAGAAAAAACCTTGGTCCAGGTGCTGGAGCTGATGTGTAAGTAGCTGGAATGGGGACTGGGGTGCTTCTGCTGGATCCCTTCTCCCCTCATTTCACCCAGTGCTTTTCCCACCACTCAGTGTCTGGGGAACCCTAGCTTGGAGCATCAGTTCTTGCAGGGCTGAGACCTGTCCTCCTATTAGGGGGCTGCTAGGCAACAGGGGGGCTGCCTGGTTGCCAGGGCAGAGGGGATGATATCTGAGATCAAACCACTCCATAATCAGACTTTCTACAAGGGGCCCTACTGCCACCTGCACTTCACCCTCCCTCTCCAGGGACTCCAAGGTTGAGACTCTCAGCTCCTCTGGGCTGCTCCTCCCTCCTCCCTCCACAGACACTGAGCTCCTTCCTCTAGCCACTTTCCTGCTCAAAACTCTGCTGGCATCTCTTGTCCACTGCTCAGCTCCTCTCTCCTTGTCTTGTCCTTGGTTTTAATGATTTAAAGGGCCCTTTGCCTGTTGGGTTAGCAGGGTTTTATGTGCAAGAAGATGAATACATATGGCCACAAATATACAAACTATTTTTGTGAGCAAAGTAGAATATATGTGAATGTTTAAAAGCACATTCCTTTATGTTTTACTTAGTCTCTCTTTTAAGTGTGAAACATGTCCAAGCATTAAATCCCATGTATTAAAACCTGTATTTGTCCTGAAGCATGAATTTGAAAATAACCTGGCACTAATATGTAATCATAAAACAATTTTCATTTCCACTTTGCAATAACATATAAATCCATAACAGTCAGTTATAAAAGGGATTGGAGAGTTCCAATCCTGAAAAGAGAAAATAATCCAAATTAAAAATTTACCAATCACTAAAATATCCCAAATAACAAAGAAAATCATTAACCTAGTAAGATTTTTCAATTAAGGTCTTTCTCTTACCTATTGATATGCCAGTAACAAGGATAGATCGCATTGCAAACCCAATGCCTAACAATGGCCTTCCAAGTGCCTACTTCTACAGCTACAGGAAATAAGATGTGGACACTTCACACACACACACACACACACACACACACACACACACAAAATTCATTATACAGTTCAAAATTACTGCTTTGAAAATAATATTTGTTTTACAAATAAAAATTGTAATCATTGACATAAAAAACAGATTAAGGTTTTCTTAATGAGCTATTCTATACATATTTTAAAAATCTAATAAATCTATCCTAGGGTCATTTTATCCCCTGAATAATCACCAGAAGCTTTGTTCACAAAGTTCATGTTCACAACTGAATTTGATCAAGTCTAAAATTTTTTAAGGTGTCACTTTTTAATTGATTTCTTGACTTCTTTGACTAAGGATGCATTCACTTCTTACAAAATGAAACCATGAAGAGGGTTGGTTTAAATGGAAATTTGGGTTTCTGCTTTGTCTCTGCTTTGCTTCTTGAGCACTTATAGGTGTGTCTGGTTATGTGTGGCTGAGTGTAACTTCTCTGAGCACCTGATGCCTAATAGGTAATAAATATACATTATTGTCTTCTGATGTATTCTTGGCCCAATCCCTGGTATGGCAAGCCTGGAAATGTAAGGTGTGTGGGATTCCATGTGATCCTACAACATCCACCTGGCTACTCTTGTGATCAGATATAAAGAGGATAACATTGATGCTGTTTATTCTGACCATATAACAACCCTTTCCTAAACCTTAGTGACGCCTCATAAATTCTAGCCTTCCCTGGCCAGATAACGACCCTCTCTGAGTCGCTAAGATCTCCATAAATTCTGATGCCGGGGCCAGCAAAAATGTAAACTTGTGTTATGCTCTTCAGAATGTTGTTATCTGTAACCCCCCCTTTGTGTAACTTTTTGGGCTATAAAACTGGGCCACAAAGAAGCCTCGGGGCTGTCCTTGGCTCCCACGATTTTGAGGGGCAAGGCAGCCTGGCCGGTCGAAATAATAAGCTTGCTTTAATTTGATTTTAATTGGAGTCAGTGGTCTTTTCTTGCGTCGTGGTCTAACATTACTCAAGAGCAATTATGAACCACCCGTAGACACCCAATATATACTGATGACTGCAGTCATTCAGGGTAATCACAGTGTATGTTACTGAGCTTCAGCACTGCAATACCCCACCCACAGACCCTGAATCCAAAGTTACTTAATTCATCTGAATTTATCCCAGCAATCCTAACCCACAGCAGGAAGGAAGCAGACAACCAGGATCATTTTTCTTACATCAGTGCAATGGCACCCTACCCAAGCAACAAGGTGCCAAATCAGACCCAGCTTCCCTCTGGCATCTGAGTATTCCTGACCCCATGTAAATGTCAATCTTCCATAAAGTCTGTCAAAATTGAACTTAAAGGTGAGTAGAAACTAAGTGCCAATTTCATCCAACACACAAACCCCAAACATAAGTAAAACTTTCTGAAAGGACCCTTGCAGAGTCCATGCAAAATCCAAAGACCGCCACACACCCAAACCTCATGCAAGAGATTTATTGTCAGTAGCACAAAGCAAACCAACAAGGCTGTCCCTCAGAAGCCAGCCCCAGTGTGTAGGCACTCACACAGCAGCTTTATAGCCCTCAAGAGATTTTTCATAAGATGCTTAGGAGTTGTGTCATAAACTGGGGTGGGGATGATCTTAGCAGGCACATGTCCTTAAGGAAGTTCAGCAGCATGCCTCAGAATGGAATCTTTGGAGCCTCTAGATAAAATGTCTCCCGACCTAAAATGGTGAATCTGATGCCAATACTTTCCCCATATCATCTTATCCTTCAATAGGCCAAATCTTATAACATTTTGCCTAGAGTAAATTTAACTTAAAAAAAAAAAAAAAAAAAAAACAGCCCTTAACAAGTTGTGAAAGGATCCTCCAGATTATCTTTGCAAGCTTGAAAACCTCAAAACCACATGCCCTGTGTGTGTTAGAACAAACATCTAGGTGCAGACCAGGCTAGCACCAGAGGGGAGACCATGGCTCCTGCACAGAAAAGGCGGCTCGGAGGGAGCCAGGTACAGCCAGCCTTGGCACCGACCCCTTGGCCTCTAGGCACCCACCTCTCTAGCCTCCAGCCCTCTGGGTTCCCAATGCCCAGCTCCCTGCTTCAGGACCCAGCAGCCTCCAGATCTCCAGGAGGTAGGGATCTCCACTGGAGGCAGGACGGGCGGGGGCACCTACAATTCGGTTSTGGGAGCTGCTGCTGGGCCCCCTTCGCGCACACCCTCCCGCTGCAATAGCCTCGCCCTGTGTCGCTGAGCCTGCACGACCTGGATCCCAGTGGTCTACCGCATAAAGAGCCCGCCTCGGTGGCGACAAGGTCGGAGGCTGCAGCCTCGATCCAGAAGGTAACCTGAGCTGGGGCCCCCTGCCCAGCCCGGCGCCACTTCTCCAGGCTCCGGGGGTCTCTGTGTCCCAGCCCAGCGCATCCCCAGCCCCAATTCCCGCCGCCGGATAGGCCACCCCCGCGTGCCACAGCGATTCCCCTCAGACACCTACCCCAGATTCTCGGGCTCCGCGACCCACAGTAAGCAGAACCAAAGGAGGAAGAACCAGGGGCTTCCGGGCTTTAAATACTGGCAGGATGTATATGAGGGTGGGGTACTGGAAAGAGCCTGCACTACACAGGGCCAGCAGCTGCCTCCGCAGAGGGAGGCCTGGAGAGGGAAAGAAGGGAGAGGCCCCAGGTGCCCACAAGTAGCCACTGCACTTTTATTTTTTTCATTTGTTCTAATTAGTTAGACATGGCAGCGGAATGCATTTTGATTCATTGTATACAAATGGAGCTAAATAACTGTTTATCTTGTTTTTTCCATTCCATATGCTATGAAAATCCTTCTAATCTGGTAAAAGATCTTTCTTCTTCTGTTTCCTGAGGGCACAGTATTCCTTTGCCTTTTGGAGTGTTTCCAATCTTATGTCTTTTTTAAATAATGCCACCATAAGTAACCAAGTGAAACTCTCCTCAGACTTTAGGGGACATGCAGATCAGCTGGAGATGTTGTCAAAATGCAGATGCCAATACAGTAGATCCTAAGATTGGGCATTTCCAACAAGTTCATCTGTGACTAGCATCCTGCTGGTCTACAGACCAAACTTTGAATGGCAAGCTCTTAATGTCAATATGATTTTGTAACAGTGGAGAATTATCCACTAATCCAGATTTCCAGATCCCTAAAAGGAAATTTTCAGGTCAAAAGATAAATACTCATGTTTTCGGTGTCAAATTCCCTTTCATAACCAAGCCTGGTGGTACACACCTGTAATCTCAGCAGCTCAGGGGGCTGAGGAAGGAGGATTGCAAGTTCAAAGCCAGCCTCAGCAACTTAGCAAGACCCTATCTCAAAATAAAAAGGGCTAGGGATGTGGCCCATTGTAAAGCACCCCTGGATTCAATCCCTGGTTCCAAAACCAAAATTCCCCTTCACAGAGACTATGTCATTTTGTTCTTGACAAAAATTATCTGCTTGACCAAATCTTATTCAGTCTTCTGAACTTTCTCCTACCTTGTCAAATTCAGTTTTAACCAAAATCCTGCCAAATCAATTTAGCCAGAAATCACCAACTTCAATGTCTGACCAGCCTTGATCTAAACAGTTTCCTTATTACCTGTCTTCAACAAGAATCCTGTTAGGTCAGTTCAGCCAAAATACCCCTTACCCTGATTTTTCCTCCTAGGAATTTTCCATCCCCAGCCTCCACACTGCTCTAGACTCTAAAAGCCCACTTGCACATGCCATATTCAGAATTGAACCCAATCCCTCTTACTCTGCTGTACAACTCCATTGCACTGATATCTAATACTTAATGGGTAAAGTTTTTCTTTCCATGCTTTACAAATATCATTGAATACTTTTTTTTTCTCCACCATTTCTCACCAGCTGTATCCCCAGCCTTACTAACAGAGTTACTGTCAAACTTCTTAATTTTTGCCAACATGATAGGAGAGAAATATTAAATCAGTGTAAGTCTAGTAAACATTTTCTTTTTCTTTATTTTATGTCTTAAAATGATATTTCGTTGCTGCTGCATATTAAACTTGGAGTCTTTCACGGGCTGAACAGGGACTCTAGCACTAAGTTCCCACCCCAGCCCTAACATTTTGTTGTTAGGAGTGAGAATGGGCCAGGTGTGGTGGCAAATGCTTGTAATCCCAGCTCAATTCACAATAGCTAAACTATAGGACCAAGCTAGGTGCCCTTCAACAGACGAATGCATAAAGAAAATGTGGTACATAGACAATAGAATATTATTCAGTCTTAAAGAAGAATGAAATTATGGCATTTGCAGGTAAATAAATGGAACTAGAGAATATCATGCTAAGTGAAATAAGCCAATCCCCCCAAAGCGGAATGTTTTCTCTGTTAAACAGATGCTGACCCATAGTGAGGAGGGGAGATAGGGAAGAAGGAAGGAACTTTGATTTGTGTAGAAGGGAATGAGAGGAGGGGTGGGGCTGTGGTGATGAGAAGGATGGTAGAATGAGACAGACATGATTACCCTATATAAGTGTATGATTTCACTACTAGCATGGCTCTGAACCATATAGAGCCAGAGGAATGAGAATTTATGCTCCATTTGTGCACAAAATGCATTCTACTGTAAAATAAAGATAGAAAGAAGGAAAGAAATCCATGAGTGTGCAGTATCATCTGCATCTTAAGTTTTCCTCAAGACTTTTGTGTCTGGACATGTATCCATGGAATGTCCCCAGGTGTATGTCCTAGAAGCTGAGTTTGGAGGACCTCTAAGCCATTTCAGTTGCAGGCAATAAAATATAACAAAGAATTTATTTTCATCAATCTAAAGATAAGTGTGGATTCAAAGATGAACAATCTTTAAGTGACTCTGTCTGTCAAAACATGTGCAACTTATGAGTCCTTTCCCAGAGGGCTTGCTCTGAGTTCTGGGAACCGAAGATGAAATCTGAATATGCTCACAGATTCATTAGGGAGGAGGGCAGTGCCACTATCAGAAGACAAGAAGCAGTGGAATGCAAGGGTTCCCTCTCATTTGCAGATCACTAGCAGTTATTCAGTGGTACTCAGTGATTCGTTGGTGTCTAATATTAAGAAAATTCACTACAAACATCTCAACTGAAAGACCTGATCCCAAGGAAGTTCGTTCTCTAACTTCAGATTAAATTGGTCCCTGATGCTAACAATGATGGGCAGCAGCTCTTAGTTCATAAGAACTTGACAATTCCTTTTCTCAAGCATCCCTGGATGGGGGTTGGATCCACTTGGTTTTTTAATGGATTTCAGTACTCCATGAAAAATAAAAGTAAACAAAGCCTTCTTATGCAGCTAGACAGCAATCTGCATTTGCAATCTGTAAATTGGAAATAAAGATTTACCAGGAATCTGGGTCATGAGTACTAACATTGTTATGGGCCAGGCTATATGGCCAATGACCAAACAGACTCCATTTTACCCTGAGACTCCATGTCATGTATGAAATGCTTCTTCCATGAGAAAATTCTGCCTGTGACAACCAGATTCTGCTTACCACATCCTGCTTAGAAATGCAATGTTTCTATTCTTTTTACACTAGGTAAAATTGTTCTCTTTTTGGTTCCCATTTCTCTTCAGCAGTGTTTCCTAGGTCAACATATGTCTAGACATTAGTAACCATTCTTTGACTTGTACTCACCTACTGTGGTTTTCACCCACTTCCCCTTCTGCCTATGATTTTAGATTTCATGATGTTTGTTTGTAGTTTTGAATCATTGCAACAGCCACTTATAATTAATGTACTGATATGTTTTATTTATGTTATAATGGTGTGCTCTAACCCATGGAGGGGGTTGAAGCTGTGGACTTGCAGCATGCTTCTTGACCTGCCAGCTGTTAAAACTGAACCAATAACTGGTGAAAAATGGCCCATATCCTGCTTTAAGATTGACTCAGTGATTTATTACAATCTTTTCATAACAACACAGCTTGATTTACTTCTATATTTGGGATTTTTTAAAATAAAAAAATTTGTTTTGCAGTGTTGTGTTCTGTACATTCTTTATATTTATATATTTATATTTATATTTTAAATCCAGGGCCTGAGGCATGTTGATCATGTGCTTTACCACTGGCTCTGCTACGTGGTATATTTGGAAGCAAATGTTAGATTGTTAGATATCATACATTGACAGAGACACATTTGAAAAGAATGTTGCCTCCCCTATTTAGCTTATTGAATTCAAAGTGGATTTGGCATCAGACATATTATCGGAGCTCACATATGATCAGATCAAAGCATAGAAACTAGCTGGACATGGTGCCATGCACATAGTCCCACCCACCTGGGAGCTGAGGATGTATGATCCCTTCATCCCAGGAGTTTGAGACCTACCTGGACAACACAGCATGACCTCATGAAAGAAAACAAGATGCAAGGAAGGGAAGGAAAGAAGGAAAGGAAGCAAAGGAAGGAAGGAAGGAAGAAAGGAAGGAAGGAAGGAAGGAAGTTTGTCTATAAAGAAGAGCAATTATTATAAAAAATTATTAAAGAATAAATAATGTGACTTGGTGATTAAGTGCCCCTGGGTTCAATCCTTAATACAAAAAAAAAATAGCAGCAATTATTACCAATTTTTATCCCAAACTGGGGTCATTTTTCCCTCTTGGGAATACAGAACCAATAAATAAGACTCAAATCCAACTGACTGAGCAGTAAGAAAAATGCATATTCTTGGTGAAAGAATAGAAGAAACAGAGACAAGTCCTTGAATATCAGTTTCTTGGCTCATTGGGTATGAAAGAGCCTATATATTGGATAAAATGAATGAAACAAGAATATTCCTCTCCTTTATTTAAGTGGGACAGAAGAGGCTGGAATCTGAAGAATTTTTAGGAAGCAAGTTGATTGACTGTAGGGTTCAGAGGTAGCTTAGGACTAAGAAGTTTTCCTTTGAACAAAGATTTTGAAAATTTTTGAACTCTATATCCAGTGATGGGGAATGGGGAAGCTTGGAGGTTTACCTGACAAGTGCTCTCTGTTCCATCTCCTAGATCAGACACCGGTTTCACAAGTTTTGTAAACCTGATGTTGACAAAAAGAGGAAACTACCAACCTCAATATTACCAGTATGTGGAAGTTCTGGTGATAGAAAGATTTCTGTAGAAGAGGAACTTATAGTTTATAAATATAGTGGGGGTTTCCACTTAATTATGGTACGGGTCTTCTAGGTAGGGGTCTCTGGCTTGCTTCATTATAAGTCTATCCCTCCTCCTTTCTAGAAATTTTGGCACCACCTCTTTTTTCTCCTTTTATGGTTCTTTCTGGCCATCATATTGGCAACTGTAGACCTTCATGGCAGTGGAGAGTGTGATTAACCCTGCAGATGGAATTATAATGAATTTGTCATTCCAACAGCCATTCTAGATYCAACCCATTTCGGCCAGCCCACCTGAGGAGGATTTCTACTCTTCAGATTTCCTGTCTTTAAAGATGAGCAAGATTAGGGTAAGAACAAAATTTAGCGGTGTCATGTAGGCATCAACCCCTCACCACACCACCTGCTCCACCCACTCACAAGTTACTTTTCACTCCTTATTTTGAGGGGGTCTGAAGGGCAAAGTTCTGTCTTCTGTAACACTTTCAAGCTGAATATGGGTAATGTCAAGGGGCCCAGTAGAGGAGTGAAGCATTTCCTAGCTAATCATAAACAGGTTTGGTTATCACTGGTCATAGGCCTTCCTCCTCCTTCTCTGAGAGACTGTGGTTATAACCACACAGGCTCCTGCTGTTCACTTTTAAATGTGGCCAGACAGTTAAGAACACATGGCCCAAAGCCACAGGAGGAGCAGGATAACTAGTGTTTAGGGTTCAAACCAGGTAATGTTTGATAAAGCCAAATAGATACTTAAACAGACTTTAATTCTTTAAGACAGTTTCCCTAAGTAAGAAAAAGCTAACAAATAGAGTGGAAAACACAAGAAATTTTTCTGATCAAATACAAATTGTTTGGTCTTCAAGCCAGTTCTTTGTAAATTTTAATAAGGGCAGATCCATATTTTAAGAAAATTTATTGTTCAAAACAAAAAAAGCTGGGCATGGTGGCACACACCTGTAATCTCAGTGATGCAAGGGGATGAAACAGGAGGTTGGCAGGTTCAATGCCAGCCTCAGCAACTAAGCAAGACCCTGCCTCAAAATAAAAAGTAAAAAAGGGTTGGGGATGTGGCTCAGTGGTTGAGAGCATCTGAAGTCAATCCCTGGTACAAAAATCAAAATAAATAAATAAAATCATAAATATCTAGATTCTGGTGTTAAGTTTGAGATTAATTTTTATTTTTGAAAATGCTGCACATAGTTTTTCTTAATTATACCCAGCATAATTACGTGTATATTTCCTTTCAGAACATTGGTGCTCACAAACCTGCAACCTGCTTAGACACTCTGCAACTTGTTTAAACCTTCAGCTTTTGAGCTTTGGGCTATCTTTCTTCCCATTTTAAATCAATCCAGTCTTTTTTAAAAATATTTTTTAGCTGTTGATAGACCTTTATTTTATTTATTAATATGTGCTGCTGAGAATCAAACCTAGTRCCTCACACATGCCAGGCAAGTGCACTACCGCTGAGCCACATCACCAGCCTCAATCCAGTCAGTTTACTTTAGGATAAACATCATACTTTACCATACACAATCCTTMTTCATTCAAAAACACTCTCTAAAAGACATATCCACATTCTTATAACTTTATTTGTATCTTTTTCCCTGAGCTTTTTGTTTGAAGTAAGAAAAAAGGTTTGTTCTGCCTTGTTTCTCTATTAATTTTTTAAATGTTTTTTTAGTTGTAGTTGGACACAATACCTTTATTTTATTTTTTTAATAAATAAAATAAAGGTATTATTTTATTTTTTTAATAAATAAAATAAAGGTATTATTTTATTTTTTTAATAAATAAAATAAAGGTATTATGTGGTGCTGAGGATCAA